ATAATCTGTGTCAGTCATTATCAACATACAGCCCAATTGCCAATATGTAGATAGATGCATTTCTGGGGAATCTCGCAATTGGCATAAATTTTAACTGTTGGTCCCATGCATACGAATATTTTGAGCATTGAATTGCAATCATTGAGCACTAAGAAAGCTTCACACTTATTTACAGATTCTGATGCTATTTTTTTATAAATAAAAACTAAAAAAAGAAAACAGAAAGGCCATTACTATTACTTATTTAACCTGGAAATATATTCATAAAATAAATTGCTTTATCTGTTATTCAAGCATTTTAACTTATTCATCTTTTGCTCAACAATTTTTATCGTTTTAGAGCTTTTGATATTGATAAGGTTTAACAAAGATGCGGTTCTTCCCATATCCTTGTTTCTCTGTACTAGCTTTTGCTATCATAATTGTATTGATATATCTAATAACTGTAGTCATCCCTTGATTGAGTGTATATATTCTTACAAACTATGATACAATATTATTATGCATAATCAAACATAAAATAAATATATTATCTAATATTAATAATATTATTGCTTATAAAAACGGTATGTATATTATATAAAGAATAAAGGTAAAGACATCTATTGTGCCAATGTAAGATCAGCAAGTTTCAGAGTAGCCCTGTTACATTGTTTTTTTTCCTTTACAAATGATAGATAAATTGTATCAATTTTTATCGGCTTTCCTACTAAGCCTTTGGAAAAAATTAATCAGTCTGTTATGATTTCTATTTTAGTATATATATAACAACTTTCATAAATTTTTTAATTAACAGTTCTTACATATTCAGAAGAACAGAAATTCATCATAAGTCTTAACATGCATTTCAGCCTTTTCTCTTCATCAAAGATTAATTTTGTTTCGTTTTCAAAAATCTATCACTTCGTTTTTATAAACCCAAACAACATCAAACGAATAGTTATAAAGTATAAAAGTAAAAAATTTTCATTCGTATTAGATAGAAAATACCTCCTGTGGTGGTACATCAAAGGTTACAGTACGAAGATCAACTTTTCTTATCATATCCATACAAGGGAGTGTAAGAAAGAGTCCGGGACCTCTAGCACCTCCAGGTAAAATCCGACCAAGTCGAAAAATGACTGCGCGCTCATATTCAGCAACAACCTAAAATGTTAATACATAAAATTAGAAACGGTTTTAGATAGGATAAATCATTAGTTATTTTATTATGAGAAATGCGGAAAAGAAATATATAGAATCCAATAGTTTGAGAATAATTTGCACCATATATTAATCGGCTAAAAGAGATTAGGTAAAAATAAATAATTTTTTCAAATTGTTTTGAGCTATTTAGACTAAGGAAGGCTTATTGATAATAGGAGCTCGTTGAAAATGTGTGATAAATAAATTTTATCTTAATAGATGATATAGGTAAAAATCAAAATATCTATTTTAATTAAATGTTAACTAACTACACTATAACGAAAACATGATTGGAGTTAAACCATATACAAATATAAGTATAGCTCTTAGGAAGAGCATTATGATAAGTAGTTAAGCAATATAATTAGCATATAGTATACAATCCAATATCGATACCATATTTTAAAATCAAAATTGATCAAATATCCGCCAAACTTGCTCAATGAATCAAGCACATCCCTAAAATCATTCCTAGTTAATAAAAGCAAAAATTAAAATTCATAGTTTAAAAATTTACTCTTTACCTAGCGGTTCTCCATCTCTTTATACGATCTAGAGTAAGAATTATTCATAATAAAGATCTCAAATGGTCTATAAAGCTACTGACCATTAGTATACATTTAAATTGATTATTTAATGATAGTACTTATATAACTAATGAGCCAGAACTTTTTAGGGATATCCTACTTATTTTCAATGCTATAGCACAAAATTTAAGCAAAATATGACTTTTAGTAAAGATCTATGTGATTAACGTTTATATGACTTTTCTGTATGATAAAATTTATATTTTGATGATCATATGGTACAAAAACTTACAATAGTATAATTTAAGTCAGCTGATTTAAAATAGTCTTTTATCTTTCATTATCTTACTCTGAAACTGCAGCGTAGATGTTAAATTCCAATTATTTTGAAGTAAAATTCATAAGAAAATGAAAAATAAATTAATTCTAGATTTATTCAACTTGATATTTCACGTTGACATGTTCATAAATATAATTATACTCAAAGAACAAGGTATTAAGGCTTCAAGCTGAACTTATAGTTCCATTTTAAAAATTAAAAATTTTACCGAATATTGTTCTATATCTATTATATCTGAAAGGTTATAAAATATTTATTCGGAAATTTTTAACCCAAACCAGAAAGGGTCTAGTTAAATAATAAAAATAATAATTTTTTCCATCATTTGTCGAAAATTTAGGCTTAGAAATTATGTATAAGTTGTTGGACTTTAGAGCTGAAGGATATTTATTTATATTGTATAGTTAGCATTGTTAAATTAGCGAAACCTAAAATAACTTTAGTTATAAGGCAAAATTTAAAGTATAAGCTCCATTAATATAAAACCACTTCGTCACCATTTATGGCGAAAATGATGACCGTACTTTCGATTTCACATAGCTTACATCAGCCGCCCCTTGCGTGACTCAAACCCGGAGTATCAGCACATGATTTCGACATTCCCAGAAAGGTCACAAGGTAAATATGAATTTCCCAATTCCCAATTCATAGTTTTGATGGAAATGCCGATGATAAAAAGTGCAGTTTCGCCTTTACAATACACTACATTACATAAATTTGTATTGAGCCAGTTTTGCAGCTGTCATTAATATTAAATAAGAATTCCCGTTGCAAATGACACTCTCTACCAACATAAGTGATGCAATTAGTTGGAACGGCAAAACTCAAGTTTGTATCATTTATGTTTACACTACAAACTTAAAATGGGCAAACTCTGGAATCTATGCCATACAACCCAGAGGCACTCGTCACTCAATAACGTGGTGGTAATGTGTCGAACTCATACATTGATAAATTCGGGTTATAGTCCCGCTCTGAATACTGATATGGACCATACGAGGCTTAAACTGCAGCGCACTTTTAATAGGAAAAACTTTTGGAAAACAAAGCGAATTTAAATTGAATCAAAATGTGAAGTAGTTGCAGATTATTTTAGGAAAATTCAAATAACAAGCCTTTATCATCTTAGGTGACATATAATGATTAGGAGTCTTATTTAGGACTTAATGGAAGCTTTAAAACCAAAGCATTTTTTAACAACCTAAAACTATGCGAAGAAAACTTAGGCCTAAATGAATCTCTTGCTTGATAATTGTTGAGCTTACTTCCAGTTCGAATGAAAGTGTTCGGTCAAGAGCTTTGAAGGCCGATCCAACCAAAAGAAGACGGCTGATCCCTTTTGACCAGCTAACAATTGGTTTTACCTTAAAGTACTATCTAACGCTGTTTCCTGGGTAATCTGCCTCGATTTTAGCGAAAATGTGCTAAGCTCTCGTCCGTCGTATGAATATACTTAGACCTTGCCTGAATATAAGACTTCTAATCACTATAGGTTGCATTATGCGATGAAGGATAGGACCTGAGGAACAGCAATGCGGATTAAACTGCGGCCTTGGATTCCGAGCACAATTTGGAGATTTGGAAACCAGCGGAAGGTGTGAATAGGCCTTATTAAATCCATTCAAAAGGGCAAACCTCAACCAGGTGTAAATAAGTAAGTAAGCAAATGTGATAGTGAAGGGGTGCTACGAGGATATAAGTAAGGTGAATACACCAGAAAAGGAGAGAAACCACAACTGTTTACCAGACAATTGGTCAAATAATTGACTTTGCTAGGCTCTTTATCGAATTGTAGTGTGGTGCTAAGAATAGGAAAATTCATTGGCGATACCGGCAAAGAAGTATTGGAATTTACCAAGTCGACAGGCTGTCGCTGTGAATAATGAAAACAACTATGGTTGAGGACTTCGATCAAGGTACCTCAGACTAAGATCTACTAAGAATACGACCAAGTTGCGCAAAAGAGTTCAGGCCACTTCAATAGTACGACCAAAATAAAGACCACAATATAATATTTTTATACTACATAAAACTCTACCAAATGTTCTAATTAACTGATTAAAAACCATATAGACTAGAGTTAGAGTCATTTTTATCAGCTTTTATCTGCATACGCAAATTGTAGAAAAGTTAATTTTACTTATACTTATACTTAAATGCTGATAATAATTAAATTATATGAAAAATGTTTTTTGAATAAAGCTCCATTGAATTATAATTGGTCACAAAATCTATTTCCGATATGAGTAAGCTCAAAGACTATCAATAAATCTGGATTACCAACTCAGTCCAGTGAGACAAAGCTAAGTTGAATTTGATACCATCATCAGGCCAAAGAATCTCATTGTAGGAAACATTTACTATCTGTCTGTTAATCATCTTACACGATCTAGGATAACTAAGTTCTTAATATGAAAAATTAATTATAACAGATTTTAGG